ATGGCAGCCGGGTGTTGTCTCCGGCTGAACAGAAGTATTGTGTAATGCGCAGGGAGTTGCTGGCCATCGTGCACTTTGTTCGATTGTACCGACCGTATTTGTATGACAGAGATTTTTTGATCCGCACTGATCACGTGGCACTACAGTACTCGTTGCGAGTTGACCAGCCGTCGGGACAGATGGCCCATTGGCTCGAGACCCTGCAGGAGTACTCTTTCACGATCCAGCATAGGAAGGGGACGCGTCATGTCAACGCTGACGCCTTGTCGCGATTGCCGCAACCGACTGGCTCGTGTCGGTGTGCGGAGGGCTCATTGTGGTCTGTCGCTGCAGGACGTTCCGGCAATGGTCGCTGCAGCAGATTCAATTCGGCCAGAAGCGATTCCCGCTGTGGGATCGGGGTTGTTGGGTTTGACATTGGGTCAGTGGAAACGCTTACAGGTGGATGACTCCTCCCTGACCAGGATGAGGCTTCGTGCCTCTCGCTCAAGGGGATCAGAAGATCACCCCTGTCTAAAACTTGTCGATGGTCTCCTCGTTCGCTGGGATGTTGAAGCACAAAAGTTCTGTATTGTTGTTCCGATTGTGTTACGCGGGAAGCTCATTAGTGATACCCATGAAAAATTGATGCATTTAGGGGAGAAAAAGACCGCGCTGGCCTTGGGGAAAGAATTCTACTGGCCGGGGATGTATAACGATGCTCAGCGAGTTGTTAAAGCATGCCATGAATGTGCGCGGCGGAAGGCGCCGGCGCAACCCTATCGTGTACCGTTACAATCGATATGGGTTTCGCGTGTCAACAAAATTGTCGCCCTGGATATTTTGGGTCCGTTTCCCATCACCCCACGGGGGCATAAGTATCTGCTCGTCGGGGTGGAGTTCCTTACTCGCTGGTCTGTGGCATGGCCACTGGTGGACTAATCTGTGGAGTTGATCGCAGAGGCTTTCTTGGAGGGATATGTTTTCGATAAGGGCGCCCCGGAGCACTTGCTCACCGATCAAGGCAGAAATTTTTCGTCACGATTGCTTAAGGAGGTGTGTGATTCGTTGGGGACCAAAAAGATTCGGACGTCCCCGTACCACCCGCAAACCGACGGAATGGTCGAACGCCTGCATAGGACGCTGACATCTATGCTTTGCCACGAGGTTAATGCCTCGCAGGATGATTGGGACCTGCATGTTGCGGCGACCCTGGCTGCTTGTAGACTGGCCCCGCATGCCTTGACGGGGTACTCGCGTTTTATTTGATGTATGGGCGTGAACCAGAAGCGCCGGCCTTGGTCAAATTGGGTGGGCAAAAACGAGGAAAGTCGTCGACGGTGCCTGCTCCTATGCAGGTGGCATTGGACTGTCTGAGAGAGGTTCGGGAGGCTTCGTTGGGTAACACGGCATGACGAAAAGCCGCCAACGAATGGTTGCATGGTATGCAGCGGCCTCGAGAGCCGTGGTGTGTTGGGGACAAAGCTTGGTTGCACTGCCCCATGGTACCGGTGGGTACGTCTCCAAAGTTCCATCGGCCCTGGCAGGGGCCCGTTCAGGTAGTTGAGGTTCTCCGGGACCAAAGTGTACGGATTCGATTCGATCGTCGAATATGGTATGTTCATCCGTCGCACCTTAAGAATTTTGTATCGCCAAATGACGCGTCATCTCCCATCCCAAAGCGGCCTATATTGGATGTGTCCGACGAGCCTGTGATGCGGTCGCATGTGTACACGCCTCAGAAATCTGCCTCCCGTGTGCCTGCAGGACCATCCCTATTGACTCGAAGAGGGGGTTCTGGCAGGTTTACTGGCCGGAAACCGGTTGACTGGCCGCAACCTCGAGATACTGTCCGGCCCGCGCAGGGACGAGGGACGGTGCCGCCGACAGATGGTCGCTGTGACAGGGACGGGTGTGTGTCGAGGACCAGATGGAGCCCTGACTTAACGGAGGAGCGTGCCCCGCCCTTGCCCCATGGTGTCCCGTTTAGGGGAAATGGGCCGGCAGCTGGAACTTGCTCCCGAGGACGGATCTTTCATTGACTCTACGTGTCGCGGTTCTTGTACAAAGTTGTTATGTTGTGTTGTTCATTGTTACGTCCTAGGTACTCCACTACGCAGAGGTCGAAGTGTTGTCGTAGCCGGGACGGATAGATTTTTTCATCATGGGGGGGGGGGGGGGTGATGTAGTGGAGTAGGAAGGTGCGTAGTGCAAACAGCATGATTACATGGTAACAAAGACAGTACGGGTTATGTTGGGTCAGCCTGTAGCGAAGGCAAATACAGTACAGGTTATGTTAGGCCAATTAGGCTGGGGGAGCCAAGGACGGCTGTGATTGGCTGCAGCTGTTATCAGGCTAGAGTGGTGCCTACATTTCTGGGTGAGAAACAGGTGCGAATGACGCGGAGTGTCGTTGGGGCACGGACTAATTAATTGGGGAGTAATGAGAGCGGGGATAAATTGGGGAGTCGGGAATTGGAGCGGGAGTTGGAGTTGGGAGCTGGACGAGGCAAGACGTGGAGTTTGGAGGACAGTTGGGAGACAGAGTTGGAGACGGAGCTTGGAAGCAGAGTGTGGAGCGGAGCTGAATAAGAGAAGCAGCTAGCAGTGGAGAGAGCGTAACGATAGCAAAGCTGAAGAAGAGAAGCAGCCAGCAGTGGAGAGAGCGTAACGATAGCGGAGCTGAAGAAGAGAAGCAGCCAGCAGTGGAGAGAGCGTAACGATAGCGGAGCTGAAGAAGAGAAGCAGCCAGCAGTGGAGAGAGCATAACAATAGCCGAGAGCAGAGACGAAGTAGTTATCAGTGGAGAGAGCATAGCATCGGTGATAGCGGAGAGCAGAGACGAAGTAGTTAGCAGTGGAGAGAGCATAGCTTCGGTGATAGCTGAGAGCAGAGACGAAGTAGCTCGCAGTGGAGAGAGCATAGTGACGGTGATAGCGGAGAGCGGAGATGAAGAAGTTAGCGGTGGAGTAAGCGAAGTGATAGTGGGGAGTGGAGAGACAAAGGTGGCGAGCGAGTCGTGGTGACAGGGATACTGTGGAATATTGAGGACATGTGGAGAGTTGTAAATAAAGCGGTATTCAAAGAAAGACAAAAGTTGTCTGAGTGAAATCGAACACTACACCTGTATAAAAAACACCTGTCCACAGAAGCAATCAATCAATCAGGTTCCAAACTCTCCACCATGGCCAAGATCAAAGAGCTCTCCAAGGATGTCAGGGACAAGATTGTAGACCTACACAAGACTGGAATGGGCTACAAGACCATTGCTAAGCAGCTCACCTCGTGGAGTTGCAATGATCATGAGAACGGTGAGGAATCAGCCCAGAACTACACGGAAGGATATTGTCAATGATCTCAAGGCAGCTGGGACCATAGTCACCAAGAAAACAATTGGTAACACACTATGCCGTGAAAGACTGAAATTCTGCAGCACCCGCAAGGTCCCCCTGCTCAAGAAAGCACAAATACATGCCCGTCTGAAGTTTGCCAATGAACGTCTGAATGATTCAGAGGACAACTGGGTGAAAGTGTTGTGGTCAGATGAGACCAAAATGGAGCTCTTTGGCATCAACTCAACTCGCCGTGTTTGGAGGAGGAGGAATGCTGCCTATGACCCCAAGAACACCATCCCCACCGTCAAACATGGAGGTGGAAACATTATGCTTTGGGGGTGTTTTTCTGCTAAGGGGACAGGACAACTTCACCGCATCAAAAGGACAATGGACGGGGCCATGTACCGTCAAATCTTGGGTGAGAACCTCCTTCCCTCAGCCAGGGCATTGAAAATGGGTCGTGGATGGGTATTCCAGCATGACAATGACCCAAAACACACGGCCAAGGCAACAAAGGAGTGGCTCAAGAAGAAGCACATTAAGGTCCTGGAGTGGCCTAGCCAGTCTCCAAACCTTAATCCCATAGAAAATCTGTGGAGGGAGCTGAAGGTTCGAGTTGCCAAACGTCAACCTCGAAACCCTAATGACTTGGAGAAGATCTGCAAAGAGGAGTGGGACAAAATCCCTCCTGAGCTGTGTGCAAACCTGGTGGCCAACTACAAAAAAACGTCTGACCTCTGTGATTGCCAACAAGCGTTTTGCCACCAAGTACTAAGTCATGTTTTGCAGAGGGGTCAAATACTTATTTCCCTCCTTAAAATGCAAATCAATTTATAACATTTTTGACATGCTTTTTCTGGATTTTTTGTTGTTGTTATTCTGTCTCTCACTGTTCAAATAAACCTACCATTAAAATTATAGACTGATCATTTCTTTGTCAGTGGGCAAACGTACAAAATCAGCAGAGGATCATATGTTTTTTTCCCTCACTGTAGTTCATTTTTCATTGCATTGAGCCATTCGCGCAAAACTACAATGTTTCTACTCTTTTTACACTCATGTGAATGCAGGGATTGCATACATTATAATTGTATTCTAATTTTACAAAATACCCCACTGCAGGAATATTTTCGTTTTATCTGCACTCCACCTGTCACCTATGCAATGTTACTTGCAAATTAGACTCTCCTGTTGTATTTAGTTCTGAACTCTCAATCAGAAATTGAAATTCAGAAATTTACTCAACCCATCATTTCCACAGGCTCAATCAAATAAGTACTACTTTTGGGAACGTCAAAAGCGATTCCCTTATGGAGAGTGGTCATTGTTGATAGGCATATGTGATCTCCGATGCTTGCTCAGGGCCACCGATGGAGATGAATGCCACCCCACACTACATTGAAAATAAAGACACTTTGACAATCAGTGGGGTATGCAGGCTGTGCAACTGCGCCAATACCCACAGTCTGGAGGGGCACTGGCACTGCGGTACGTAGAAGGGAGGCGAGGCAGACAGGAAGACCCATTTTATGCCTTGCATCAGGGCCCATACGAACCAAACGATGCCACTGTTTGATGTGATGCCTTTGCCTATCCATTATCTTGCCCTTATGGCCTGGGATTGAGTTGTACCTTCCCCACTCCCCTCCTCCCCCAACACCCCCCATCTCCCCCACAGGCACTCACCGGTGGGATCCGTGGGCTGCACGTGGCCCCCAGCGTCTCTCGCTGCATTGGTGACCGCTTGCTGGTGCAGAACATGGAACCAGTCCTTCAGGCGTGACGCCATGTCCGTCAACTCACGGTCCGAGCACACGTCTGGTGAGGGGAGATAAATTGTTTTCGTCGGGGAAAGGGGGGCAGAGAAAAATACGGTTCTGATGAGAGGGGCCTTAAGATGGTCTGGGGGCTCCGAGCAATGAACCAGTACCCATGAGATCAGAGGTTTGAATCCGGGGAATCCAGCCTGTGATTAAACTGTGCAGTGCGTATCGTATTACATTTAATTTCTACACTTAATTTGGTTTATTATAGTTCGTAGGATAAAAAATATATGCTTTTGATTGTTACAGTGTGAACACTTTTAAGGCAGGGTATGTGAAAAGATGCGCCACCATTAGCTAGCTTGGATGCAAGGCATAATCGCCTCAAATGCACGGACACGAAGAGAAAGACACCGGTTCATGACCATATTTTGACTTTGTGCAACGTGAAAGCAGGGCTGTCAATTGTTATTGGCCCCCAGGAGAAGATAGGCTCGGTTGTTGAGTCAATGACCTTTGACATTTCCAAGGACCATTACGTCCTGAAATCGATCAGAGCCCAACGAGCAAGAAGCTGTGAGTTTCAATTTCTCTGGTATTGAATTTGGAATGTTTTAATCACACTTCAAAAGGTAGCTGAGGAAATGTCTGTTAACATTTCCCCTTCAATTACCAAAGCCATTGACTATTTTTTCTGTGGTATGTATGAGACGTGAATGTTGTGCGTATGGGTGTGTACACTATTGTGTGTGTGATCAGTGTGGGGAGCGGTGGTGTAGAGTGACGTTTTCACTTTGCTATGAACCCTGTGAAGTTAAAGTCCCGTATTTATCTGGTTCTTGGCCTTCCCAAGGTCAACTCGGCCTCAAATAAGTACCTGGTGCTGTGTGTATGGAGCAGCACTGGGAAGACAGTGGCGGTCCGGGTGTGGCATTGGCCACGCCACCCGCTCCTGGGCAATGCTGCCGTAAAATAGGTGTTCTTCACTGGCAGAACTTGTCTAAGCAGAATATGTAGGCTATACTATGAATGGACCTTTGTCGTTGTGTGTGGTGAGTGTACAGTGTTGTACTTGTCAGTGTGTATATGTGTCACATTTAATGTTGTGTGGCAGGTAATGAAAAAGAAATCCGCCTAAAATGCCCGAGGAATGACATTTTCAGAACGACCAAATTGATATCCATTACTTTATTCCTGCTGCGCGCCAAATTAGTGTCACGCGATTTTAAACCAGGCGCTGACCTGACATGCACCATGCTCCATTTGCTCACACTGTTTATTTAACCTCCCTGCACAAAACACATCGTTCCACTTGGCATCAATTAAAATCAATTATGTATGAAAGTGTCGAGACATAATGCGGTCTCTACGCTGTTGCACCAGCCACAGGGCTGGAGGGGCGCTGAGCACCGGGAGCCTCCATTGGAGGATGAGAGGACACGTGACTGGGAGCGGGGAGCTCGGGTCGCGACACAGAGAGGGGGCGTGGCCGAGGGCGGCGGGAGGCAGCGGCAAGGGGATAAAGGGGGGAGCGCCGAGGGGATTCGGGGCTCGTGTTGGGGGATCGACGCAAGAGTACTCGGCGCTCTTCAGGGGTCCGCTCTTCGTCGTGGCGTAGAGTTAACTAAAAATCGTGGGTTCTGTAGCGTGTAATTTACAGACCCGTTCGCTAGCTAACTCTCACACACATAGTAACCAGTATAGGACAGCATAGCCACACTTGATAGATTAAAACCCGGTGATCAGTGAGTTGTTTATCAAAAGAGTTGCCTCTGTTGAACAGTGTGTGTGCCTCAGTAATCGCACACGCTACAAAAGTATAAAAACGGTACTCTTTCACATTGTGGAATCTGTCAAGCACAGATTAAGATATGTCTTCCATGTTAGATCTCCAGCCATGATTAACCGTATATTCTAATCCAACTGCAGCTCTCTCTAACTCACACACACCAAGAACTCCCTTCCCTTCATCATTCTTCTGCAAAATGGTGAATACTATAGACCTGTTTTTTGGGAGCATGTGTGTATTCGATATGCTGCCCCAAAATATTTGTAGAATTAGCATGTTCGTTCTGCACCGCTAAACCAGTTGTTTTAAACTTGACTCAAATTAAAAGAAAGTGTGGTATTGGAGCAGTAAACTGGTAAATATTCACGGCTTATAATGAGCTTTACACAAATCTACGACGAGGTAGGAAGTACCAAAATGCAGCCAAAATCATCATCTTCAAAACCACTCTTTTAAAAAAAATGAGCTCAATAGGACAGATGTACATTTGCATTTTGTCTATACAGCGTTGTTTATGAACATTGTATTAAGTCTGCAAATAACTTCCTGAATGGGTAATTATTTGAAACACCAGTTTCTTCTGGCAGCTTGAGATGTTTTGTATGGAAGGTGCCGTTTAAATATTAAATGATGACAATCATGATAATGTTGAAATCGTGACAAAATGGCCGCTACACATCGCCGTGTACATTTGCGGCAATGCTGGTGATCAATAAAGTGCAAAAAAGAGCTTTCAAACTCATCGGATTCCTCCAGTATAAATAATGATTCAGATTCTAAAAAGTCAGGTTCTCAAACGACACAAATCTAGCCCCATGCATCTCGATGGTCCACAATAGGCACCCGTGTGCCACTTCTTGCTCAATGCACGATTTAAAGTGCGCAATGGCGCAAGAATGAAAAGTGTTAAAACATCGTCACCCCAGGGTGCAGGGGACGGTTGGCTGTTTAATTTGGTGTTGGGTTCATATCGATGCGGGGCGAGACAGAATCAGCTGATCATTCCAGTTCCCAGCAACAAACATGACCTCAACCCTGAACTGTTCCCGCAGTCTATTAAATTCATCAAGCCCTGCGTGGCTGTAGGATCATTAACTTGCAGTGGGAGCACAACTCGAGGTGCCGCGGCCGACCCAAGTTTCAATAATTCAGCCTGAAGCTTAGAAAAAGCATCTGCATTATTAATTAAAGCTCACTTATTTTCTTGTTCGCATCCGCAAACATAAAGCAGACTTGAAACACGGTAGGACGAACTCCTCTGCCGTGGCAGATCACTGTTATAATTCAGTGGGCTCACATGACATTGACTTCTCCAAGACGGAGGTTCTTTGCAAGCCAATTGGCTACCATGAGAGATTCGTTCATGAGGCCATCCACATATACAAGCACAGAGACAATTTCAACCGAGAAGATGGATTATGGCTTAGTAACCATTGGAAAGATGTTTTAAACCATTTTGGTTCTTAATTAATTGTATTTTACGGTGACCTTTCAGACCGGAGCTCTTTCGCTGGCATTGCCTCTTAATACCTCTCACACCACGGTTAATGGTATGGTTTATAACATGGAGTATAACAGCGCATCATGGCTGTTTCTCTCCCCCCTCCTCTGTTCCGAGCATGGATGGACTCGTCCGTCTGAACGGGGCTCGTTGCTGTCCTTGGTGCTGGCGTTGAGGGGAAGAAACCGCCACACTTTTTCGCTATATGGCATTGTGATATATAGCGACTTATTGTTGGTGGCTCAGCTGATTGGAGAGTATATAGAGTTTATTGATAACATTGAGGTAGTTTATATTTTAGTTTTTTATTCGTTTACTATGTGGTATTCATTATAGAGTGTAGTGTATACCCAGTTGCTTTGTGTTAATAGCTCAGCTTATTGAAGAATATATTGAGTACATTTATTATATTGATGTAATTTAGACTTAGTTTTTTTTCACATCGGTTTACTGTATGATAGTTGGATAGTTGCAGCCCTTTAGCATCCATATACTAAATGCCTCTGTTGATATGTAAACTTTGACTTTAACATAGCTATTTATGTGATCAGTCACAAGCTAATCCCTCAGCTATTTCAATGCTAAATTCTCCTGTTTAATATGTAAACTCCTTTGTCAAGGCGCTTCACTTCTCTCACCTAGCTTAAAAGACGCTACGAATCTTAGCAGCGTTCATTGAAGCGCTGTCGTCCCGACAGTTCTGTTCCTTCACCTGAAGAAGGCTACTTGTGTTGTGGCCAAAACGTTGTGAGAATTTTATTTTATTGTTTTATTTTTATTATTTTGTTTCCATTCTACGTGACTTTACCGAAAGAACCAAGAAGATGAAAGCGGGTGTAGTCTGTTTCGTGTTTCATTTGTAGCTGCTCTATAAGCAGTGTCAATGTAGTCAACAGTGGTGGAATGATAGCTTCATCAATTTGCAGGCACAATCAAATGGATAAACAATGTTTGTTTCCATATAAAACCCGTTTAATTTGATTTTATTTGAGATGTGATCAATATGAGGTTGGAATGTAAGTTTTTAATCAATCAGTGAACAGGTGAAGGGCATTAAACTGGATTTTGGTTTGAAAAAAATTACATGATCTTCATTTTGTGTTGATTTAGGCGCAATTTCAATGATGACAATTGATATTGATTTAAGTAGAACTCGTGTTGGAGCCTTTGTTTGACTTTGTGTGGAGATATACCCGATGCTGGCAGGAAAGTGTCATCAGCAAAGAGATTTCGTTTGGAGTTATTTAAGTTTAGTCCAATATTGTTTAAATATGTAGTGGAATAGAAAGGTGCGTATTGCATGGAAACAGAGACAGTGCGGGTTATGTTGGGTCAGCCTGTTGTGAAGGCAAAGTCATTGGGGTTATGTTGGGTCAGCCTGCAACGAAGGCAAATACAGTGCAGGTTATGTTGGGGCAATTAAGCTGGGAGAGCCAAGGACGACTGTGATTGGTTGGGGCTGTTGCCGGGGCTGGAGAGGCGTCTTGAAGTCTGGCGAGAAACAGGTGTAGGATCACACGGGGTGCCGTTGGGACGCGGACTAATTAATTGGGGCGTAATAAGAGCAGGGATAAATTGGGGGGTCGGCAATTGGAGTGGGAGTTGGGAGCTGGACGAGGCAAGACGTGGAGTTTGGAGGAGAGTTTGGAGACAGAGTGGGGGACAGCGTTTGGAGACAGAATTGGAAACAGAGTTTGGAGACAGAATTGGAAACAGAGTTTGGAGACTGAGTGTGGAGCGAAGCTGAAGAAGAGAAGCAGCTAGCAGTGGAGACAGCGTAGCGATAGCGTAGCTGGAGACGAGAATAGCCAGTAGTGGAGAGAGTGTAGCGATAGCAGAGCTGAAGTCGCTGTGTGCGAAGTCGCTGTGTGCGAAGACACTGTGTGTGGAGTCGCTGAGTGCGGAGTCGCTGAGTGCGGAGCAAGCGAAGTAATCGTGGGGAGTGGAGAGACAAAGGTGGCGCGCGAGTCGAGTGAAGCACGGCGAGCAGGCCGTGGCGACCTGGATATTGTGGAATGTGGAGGACATGCTGAGAGTTGTAAATAAAGCGGTGTTCGAAGAAAGACAGAAGTTGTCCGAGTGAAATCGAACACTACAAATATACGAACAGAATTGGACTGAGCACGGAACCTTGTGGAACACCCTTTGTTCTTTTTATATTTGTGGTTTAAGAGTTACCTATCAGACCATTCTCAAAAGACCAACTTGGTCAACAGTTGGCTGAGTCTTGTGAGTAGAATGTCATTATCAAGTGCCAAAGGCTTTTGACAAGTCAAGGAATGGTGCACACCATTGCTGTGGTGGTGCAGTAATCCTCTCGAAAATAAGACTTTACTGTGCATGAAATATAGTTTTTTAGGTAGCAGTTTATTTGTGATTTGAGTATTTTTTCGAATATTTTAGTAACTGATTAAATAATAGAGATTCTTATATAATTATTAAGATCTTCTTTGGAGCTATTTTTGTAAACTGAACAGATTGGTGATTACTGACCTCATGTTTTCAGCCCTCCGTCATTCTGTAGTGGAGATCCTCATTCCTATGATGGGGGATGAGTCTTTATAAAACAACTGCTGTTACGTTCCCATGTAGCGGTACCCATTAAATCGCGAAGGTTTGAGTTTCCCCTTCATCTAACCAGGATGTTAACTTACCTTTGCATTTTCAGAGCTCATGAGCCTGACAATAAAATGATCAAAAGTACGTATAGTTAACACTAATAGGCAAAAGCCGCCAATTTGTAGCACATCTGCCAGCGTAAATCAATAAAAAATAATACAAGGAAGGCGATAGCCACCCACTGCTCACTGAGGAGGAGACCATAGGCAGCCGAGAATGGCATAATAAATGCAGCTTTAAATTTAAACAGGACACAGGTCTTGCGAACAAGTTTAGCAAAAACATTTAAAATAATGGTCGAACGGCAGAGCAAAAAGAACCGTAAAATGTGCGTTTCTGGAAATATTTAAAGCTCACAAAAAGGAAATACACTCACTCAAGGCCTAGGGTTAAGTTACTGAGCAACTGGCACGTGGAACAAAAGTAGAATAAAATTAACCAGCGAAGTAGCGTGTAGCATGGAAATAACAAAAACTGTATTCATCGACAGTGACACCCAGCAACATCGGCAGTGACTCACAATGACCCTATGGGTAGAATGGCACTGGATATGGTGAGTTTTACAATTATTAAAGAAACATTTGATCCATGGCTCCAACATGCCGGGGCATTTGTTGTCGCTGCAGCATTTGCAGTGAAGGCAACGATCATTACTCAGTGGCACGACACAAAGAGTGCGGCGAGTAAGATACACTACCCCCGTGGCGACACCTTGATTCATGCCCCCAGACAAGAAGAACAGCCACGGAAATAAAACAAAAGCAAAGGCTGACGATGTTTATCATAACCAAAGGCCATGTCGCTCGACTCTCACCATCAACCCCCCCTAGTCTGGGCCAGTTTGCTTGGGACCCCACTGCAGTTTCTAACGGCAGCCCAGGTGCATAATGGGAATATGGATTTTGTGCAATATAGGGGTATAGTTGAGCTGGGATAGCCAATCATTTCAGTTATAGATTACTCTACCGATTATGATTTCGATTACTCGTTGGGGAAAAAACGTTCCTCTGTTGCCACATGCGTCGTTGGATGGGACGTGATGTTTGGGGTTTTATTGATGTCATCGGCATCATTAGCCAAGTTGCGCTCGGGGCATGGCTATTAGGGGTTTCCTGCCTTCAGGAGGCAGTATGTGGGGGTGGTCACAATATTTTTAAAAGGACCCAAGTAATCAATTACAATAGAGCAGCCGACTACAATCTTTAGTCAATCGATGCAATGTACGAATCGTGATGCATGCGGAGGCACTGCCGCCATGGCTACGATGCAAACATCGCGCACCTTCACGGGCGCCCCAATGTCATGCATGCTGTGCGTGAGTTGGCCCCAAAAGCGGGATTTGGCATGTTTTTGAAGCATAGAAAATCTGGCTTGACTCAAGGTCAGTCACAAAATATAACACTGGTGATGACATTTTGAAAGACGTGGAACCATTAAAGCATCACTAGGTAATTGCCTGATGAGCATTGCGACAAGGGATTGCTGATTAAATAGTTATTTTTGTTTGACCTTGTTATAAGTCCCCACCCCAGGCAACCATGAATTAAATTATTATTTTTACACCTAAATGCACTGTGTGAAAGTTGCTATTCTCAAGTTTAATTTGTCCAGTAGTTATGAATTTGTTTACACCCTCTTTATTTTTTTCATGCAACCTCTGAATATATAATTTTTCACAATGCATTCTCTCCACCTTAATTTTCCTCGTTGCTGCATGTTCTGAGACACTGCTACTTAATTGCTTCATTAGTCATCCTTACTTGCCACTATGTGCCAACACATCAGGCCATGTTTGCTCATTTCAGCTTCCCATCACGCAACACTAACGGGCATGCTTACTGTAACTTCGGCATGCCGGCTGTAATTTAACCACATGCCAAAGCTAGACCTCAGAGCCGCCGTGACTTACAGCAGCTCGGAGTGCAGTGATAGATTCATCAGACCGCCAAGAATGAAATCACATTGATTAGTGGAGCCTTTCATCTCACCTAATGGCTTTCCTACTCGCTGCCCTGCTTTTGGTCACACACGGGCAATAGTGAATAAAAATGTACGAAATGAGAAAAGACCACTCGGACCATCGACCTGCCTCCATGGCGGATCGGAAGATGGATTAACAGCGCGCACTGGCTCCCCACCACACACGGCATTCCCAGTAACCACGGGTAGTGATGAGATTCATCATAATGTACTGTGTGGTGCTGCCACTGACGTGAGCAGCAGAGATAGAATGGAAATTCGTTCCATTCTGATCAAAGAGCAGTGAGTCCAACAATGAGAGACTCACTGTTGAACACCACTGCACGGGTGATTTGCAAGTCAAGAAATTGGGTCGCGGGGTCACGGTGATACATATGTAGTGACTTAACTCGGAGACACTAAGAGTTGGAGGCACTTCTTTTATTTAACTGAGCAACCTTTGCACAATACACACCCTACCACTAAATAGGGTTTTTTTGGGTTAGATCGCGTAAATATATAAATGTGTCATTAAAACCCGCCACCACCCGACACAGCCAACTAGTAAGGGTTGTCACGTAAACAGAACATACCACTTCGTCACTAGTACAGCACAACGGTGTGTTGGAGAGTCAAGCCACAACATTTACAATCTGAGTACGATGTTTCACCAGTAATTACAACCAGCTTCATCAGGCGACAGCCAGATTTGGGGAGAAATCGAACTGTTTCGTTCCTTATATAGAGGCTTAGATGTGGTGACCAAGCTTCTGCGCTCTTGTGCCACGTGGGCGGGGGGATTACTAAAGGCAACTTACATTATGCATTATGCTATCTCTTTGAACATGTCCTTCCTGTCTGTTGTGTGTATTAGAATAGCCGTACCAGCATAGGGTGTGTAAACATCCTACACTGGTACACACTCTTCTGTCGCTGATTTATACAGTATTCTACGTGGGTTGCTAGCCTATACACAACACTAGCCGTCAAACACTGACGGCGCTGAACCGAGACACCCAATTACCGTCTAACAGCGCAATATCTAGTGAAGACGACAGCGACGATGGCGACAATCTTTAACAGCACGACGGGAATCTCACTCGAAACGACAGCCCTGAGCTCTCGCTCAGGGCCCCCTTTACGCTCCCAGCGTGACCTCGCTCTGCTCCGGCCACGCCCCCTCTCTAGAACCTACCAGCAGGTTCCCGAGGCTTCCCCCTGTCCCCCTTCTGTAACCTTTCCCCAGAATTCCCCTCTGGTGTATTACCTGACCTGCTGACGTCAGGGCTGCTGTAAGTCGCAGATCTCCTTCCCTGCCAGCAGCCAGCGCTATGCTGCTACATTACTTATTCTATGTCACTACACATAGAGTAGCTGAGGCACAGGTGTGAGGCTGGCTCTTGTCTAATATCATCAATGCCTATCAAGGCAACTCAGAGCCAAACAGAGCAATGGATAGTCACCAATGGTAACGGACAGGGTGTTGATGATAAGAGTGGTGAGGGGGTAGGGTAGTGAGGGATTCAGTTGTGGGGGGTAGAGCGGTAACGAGTACGGCAGTGATAAGTAGGCGGTGAGGAGGTGAGCGGGCTGACAAGTAGGGTGGTGAGGGATATTGAGATGAAGGTTATGGTGGTGAGGAGTAGCGTTCTGAGGGGTTGGGTGGTGAGTATGGTAGTGAGGAGTTGGGTAGTGAAGAATAAGTGCTATGAGGTGGGGTAACAATGGATGGTGTGGTGAGGAGTATACGGTAGTGACTAATAGGGTGGTGAGGAGTCGTGTTTGGAAGTGAGGTGAGGAGCAGGGCATTGAGATGTTATAGCAATGATGGGGCACGGCGGTGAGGAGACGTCTGGTGAGGGTCGAGGCGTCTGGTGAGGGTCGAGGAGGTGGGGAGGAGGTGACAACGCCGCTTCACCTTTGTCGCTTGTGCCAGGGGTGCTGTTTTCCGTGTGGCAGGGGCACGAGGTGGCACACTTCACCGCCATCTGCTTTCTGGTCACACATGCCTGGTACTCCAGCTTGCACTGAAACAACAGTGGTTAAACAAACACCACGCAGCGGTTACGGTTTACTTTACTACCCTCCTTCATAACGTGCATCCTCTAGAGGAAGATTAAGGATGCATATTTGTATTTATTGAGAGCTTAAAATGCCACGGCATCTCGGAACGCTTATGCAACTCAAAAACAATATTTAAATGTCCTTTACTGTGGAGTGACACAATTTTTAATGGCAAAAAATACTCCAAAGTTAATTTTAGGTGTTCCACGATAGCATTCTCGTGATTTCACTTTGATATCAGACTGAAAAATTGTATTGTGAATGCTGATGTTAGCAGGGCATTTACGGAGCCCCTGACTGATTTTAAAAGTTTCAAATTTTAGTTTATGAAGCTTCAAACTCACGTCGGACAGCTGTCTATGTTTATTATACGTGGCCTTTACAGTAATGCGAGATGCCTGTGGTATTTCTAAGATATAATATATTCAAATTGGGGTAGCGATGGTGCAGTAGTTTTAGCACACTGTGCTATGAACTAGGCCACCTGCGATTAATTCCTAGTCATAGATAACAGCAGTGATATCTGAACCGGTTCTGGGACACAACCTCCTTTCGTGAACTAGTGCCGGCCAGCATGGCGAGGTATGGTCCAACAGCCCCTACTAATAATAATTGACATTTGCAAGGCGCATTTCATCCACAGATTCCAATATGCCATGTATGGAAAGCAGTAAATAATCTGAACCAGGCTAAACCGACAGAACTTGGGGCTGAAGGCCAGTTTAAAGAAGTTTTCAAGAAAAACTTCAATAGCCCTAACGACTTTGGTTGTCTTATTACGAAAGGCAAAGCGTTGTTCCACAGTCTGGGAGCTGCACTGGCAAAGCTCCATCACACCAGGAACAGAGCCTTAACCTCTGAGTCCTTAGCAGAGGGTGGTCGCAAGATCTCGTGGACCTCGTTGGAGTGTAAACATGGATCAGTTCCTGCAAATATTGGTGTGCTAACCCATCGAGAACCTTGTATTATCAGCAGCAGCAGGGTTTTATAGTCCGCTCGTGCAAAGATAAGATAGCAGGTGTGATGTTCCCTCAAACGGTGTGCATAAGCACTCTAACAGCAGCCTTCTGAACAAAATCCCGAAAAGTAATGTGTTGTAGTAATCAAGATGGGAGAACACGAAAGCATGGACCAGTATCTCTGAGTCATTAGGTGACATGAATCAAATAAGGCATCGAAACTCTGTCAAGTAAGGTCAAATGTGACAACGTGGAGCCAACTGCGCCCCTCCTCCCCTGCTGCACCCCAAATTGCATTACATGCTCGTGAGCGTTACTGCCAGCGCAGAGTGGCGAGGGTGGCTTGGGAGTGAGGCGGCAATGTCTGCCTCCGTTCTTGTCACCCCATGTGGCCTGCGCTGGTACCTGCTGCTGATAAATGTTCCTCAGGCTCACACCGAGATCTCGGCAGATTACAGTTTGGTCAGAGCAGAGGTCAGTGGGACCGAGTGGAAGGTTTGTGTCATGCGAGCCGTCCCATGAAGAGAAATGTCGACTTCCTCTAGCCCCCCAGAGCCATACAACCATTTCCTATGACTAATTTTAAAACTCTCTACGAGATCAGTGATTTCCCTGCGTGGAATATGTTTGGTCTAACGCGAATAGTGGCCATGTTCCTGGGTGTGCACTTAAACTAATTGGAGCTGTTAAATTGGCACCGCTACAAGGTGGCAATCAGCATAATTACGACGTTTCCACCTGAGGTCTCCGCTACTTTATCTATCCAAGTGTTCAGAGTTATATTTGTGTTAAATAACAAGCAATATATTAATTGTTACTTTTGCATACGTGATTTTACCCCTAAAATCACTCATTTTGTTCATTAACCTGGGGGAGGCTTTACATCAGATTAAAAACGCTATATCACAGCAATTATATATAATTTTCTATTTCCAACAAAAGCGATGATGCTTGAAATCTTGTAATACGTATCTCCTCCCACTTCCCAAGATGTAGGTATGTGGAACTCCTTTCACACTGTAGGTAGCCACAGAGCAGTATGGAAACATCTCCATCACGAGTAGAAGAAGCAGATCAGGAAACTGAATAAAGCTGAGCAAGAAAAATATTTAAAACCCCGGTCATGATTCCCCAAGCTTTGACATGACATGGATTAGAAACAAGGCTCCTTGCTTGAAGCTAAACTCCTAAGTTGCAGGTGCGGTTCGTCCGCGAGGGGCGTTGGGGCGCTGCCCCATGAAGCACCTGGAGATGAGAAATTATTTTTGGACTAAAAATACTTTCCTATAAATTGTTCTTTTGTTTAAAAAAATTCAAAATGAATTACCTAAAGAAGATAACATTTTAAGTTGTTCATATTAGAAACCGCTGCAACACAGTCGGATTTGTGAGAGGTCTCGAGGCGAATGTGAAGGCGTCTGAGAGAGATTTCCCTTCATTCGTTGCGATTAGCTTAGCATTTTAGCCAGGCCGTTTGAGACCCATTCAGGGCAGCAAAAAAGGCGCCCATGACTGTAATGACTATGTCACAACGCTAGAATATGGGACCTTTCTTGCCAGTATAAAAATAAAAAGAATAGAATTGACCCTTTCTGGCAATAATACAGGTGTTAAGATGTTAGACCAGATCAGACGAGAAAGCCAGACGAGAAAACCTTTTGCTTGGTCTGGTCTAATACTTTGAGACGAGGCTCTAAAGAAAGCTGTCTCTGGTGTGGACCAATCAGTTTCAAAGACAATGCATATATTATCGGAGCATGTTTTGTTTGCATGTTCACCACAAGTACGTGTGGTTAATGCAGACATAATTCCTTGCAAAAGGTTTCTGTTTGGTGTCTTAACATCTTAACACCTGTTTTATTTCCAGAAAGGGTAAAACCAATTATTATATCACAACGCTAGGTTGCACTGTGCAAATATAGCAGGTCATGGCCTACATGCTCTAGGCTTTTGGCAGTGTCAAAGGGGTTGTGCAGTGTGGACTTGAGGGTCATGTGGACAACATTTGAGTGCTTTGTTGTTTTGTTTCGTATTGTTTATAAATGCCTACCATTGGTAGATAAGACAGTTATATCACTTTCACGGGAAGGCCAATCACGTGACGAGGTTTTTATTCATTATAACACCATATTTTCGAAGGTCACTCACAACAGCCCCACCTAGCAGATATGTCACGAGCCACCAACTGCGAAGCCGTGCATCCAGCCCATCCCATGTGAATTTGAAGCTTTGTTACTGAGAAATCATGAGTTTAATATAGCAGTCAGGTGCCCGAGTGATGCCACTAGATCTATATTTTGGCATTTCTGGTCATGACCTGAAATACTTTTTTATCTCTAAAACTTCAAAATTGTGTCAGCATGCCCAGGACATATAGCCTAGGTGTAATGATTTTAATTTAAAGTGTGAACTGCTTTCACATGCCAATACATCTATGACGTATTTATATAAGTATATATCATGGTAGAATGAGTGTCTCACATATAGAAGATTGCAAGTTTAAACCATAGTTCTGGTGGTGACTCAGCCCAGGGATAATACAATCAATACCACTTTGTGGGGAACTGAACAGTGGTTGTTCTATGGAGAGACTCGCCCAACGCCATGGGAATGTGGTATATCTACTCTGGTTCAGGGCTGCAAGGAGAAGAAGAGCACCAATTCCTCAATGCTCATTGGAGGAGGAAATTATTTTTACTCTGACAGGATACCAAGCTGTGCTGTTGTTTTTTCTTTATCCCAGGGATCATTATTTCATACGGTCAATGAAGAGCAACTATTAGAGATTCAGTTCTGAGTAATTTAGCCATTTAGTTGCTTTCTGTGGGAGTTCGTGAATTGCATATACACCCACTCACCCACCCACTGATTCTTCCACTCTCTCAACCACTAACTCAATTACTAACTCACTCACTCAACCACTCACTCACTCACCACCCACTCACTCACCCACTCATTCAAGCACCCACCATCCCTTCATATTTATATTCAAAGCAGTGCTTTGATTCATGCTTTGGTGTTTGCAGCCACAGTCTCACACAGTAAGATATTCTTTGATTTTGTAAGGGTTAGAATCTAACCCAGTGATTCTCAAGTACAGTCTTTGCAACGACCCTTGATCTACATCTTCATGATTACCAATATATTCTATTCACAAGCAAATTAAGCCATTGTGAACGACTACATGTGCCTGATGGTTGGTAATCACGGAGAGCTGTGGTGTGAAGAGCCACAAGGACTGGTGTCGAGAAACTCTGCCCTCACCCAACACCTCGGATCCTGAGAGCTGCTGCTGAGCAAGAAATTCACGAGAGAACCTTCGTGTGCTATACAAAAAAATCCACAAGTAATCATCGCTACTCATGAGGATTAATGGAGGGCACACTGAGAAGATATTTGCTACCAATGCTATGAAATTGTTGCGGCCACACACTGTTGGCTTTGGAAAATAATAAATGTATGTGTACGTCTTCCAAAGCTAACCGTATTGTATAGTTGTGTGACTGTGTGGAGAACGGTGGGGCAGTGGTTAGTGTGTGGTACTACAAACCTGATTACTTGGGTTCGATTCCCAGCCATGGATAACATTAGTGGTGAGTATTACCAGAACAAGTCCTGGGTTTCCACTCGGTCAACTCAGATTTCTATGAGTACCTGGTGCGATTCGTAAACATCCACACTAGGGGGGAGACAAAGGCGATGGGCGTGATGCTAGTCACTCCCACTCCTTTGTGCATCAATGTTTCTAGCTTGTGATACATGCATCAATTCAGATGTGTGGGAATCAGATTTTTTTCGATTCATATGTTGGATGTAATTAAAATCACATAACCTTCCTCAGCCACGAGAGGCTGCTATGTCCATCACTATGCAAAAAATAAACGATGATCTAATGGGATCGTAACTAATTATTGAATCGCAATGGAAGTGGGAGCATAATTGTTAAACCCATACTCACAGCGTATTCCCCAACAGTCGAACCCTAACCAAAGGAACATTGCCTC